TGAGGCAGAACTGAGTTCAAGCCAGCAGAATGCACACAGAGTGCTACAAGCTGAACAAACTGGATTCCAGCCGCACAGACAGAAACCAGCCTGAACTTTGGTAGAACTAAAGAGACTGGCTTACTGGGATTATCCACTACCCCTGTAAATCTATGGCTGGCTTGTTGGGATTAATCAACATAGATCTGGGCTCTGTTCTGCAAAATTTGTCTACCAGTGGTAGAAGAGATACACCTTGAAGTGGACATTTTTTTCTTTTGTTTTTGTTTTGCGTTTTGTTGATTGTTCTTGTTTCTGTATGACTATGAACATTGTTTCTAGCTTTTGATTGTTGTTCTATTCTTTACATTTTTTCTCTTTCCTTCCTGTCTTCTTTACCAGTTTCCCAAAGTTTACATAGTCTTCCTTTACCGTCCAGCCTTGCTTTTAATCTCTTCCTCTTCTATTTCTCTATTTTTTTCCCCAACCCCTTTTAAATTTTCTCCCCTGAAGGTAAATTTGTCATATTGAGGGTATATATTTACTATATACAATTTTCTGGTTTTAGATTTTGTTACATAACCATAAATATAGTTCACACAGTTAAAGGTAGCAAGTCAATAGTCACCAGTTTGTCATTTTCTAGGCTGAGTTTGATGCTATTGTTATTATTGATACTTTAGCCAAGGTGACATAATTGTTCTAATCAGTTGTTCTTCCTGATATTTCAAAACTGAGATTGCCTAAGGGTCATAAACAATACTAAAGTCCAGAGCCAGAGAATCAGGGGCTAGGCCAAATAGGCAGCAACTTCTCGAAATTCCAATAAATTGAAGGGGTAGGAGTTTGCAACAGGTTCAAAATCCAAAAGCCAGCTACATGTGGAAGACATCTCCAAGTAGTCATTTCCTAAGGGTTCTAAATACTAGCAATAAAGCTCGTTGCCATAAGCAATTTATAAGCATGAACCCAAGAATTACACTTTTAAAAGGAAAAGAAAATGAAGAGACTTAAGCAAGAAGCAACCCTAGACTTCCAGCTCACCAAAGGCAAACCCAGGGGGGAATGAGGTGGAACAATTTGAAAGCCACCCACCTGGACTCTCTGAACTGGTAACAGCAGAAGTAACAAAGCAGATAAATGAGGCTCTAGAAAAAATCAAATCAGAAATAATTTCTCAGATAATTACAGAGATGGTGACCATAATGAAAGACTTGGTTAGTGACTCTGGAGCAGATACAGATTAAAAAATAGAGGAGCTTAAGAAAATGATGGAAACCATGAATACCCAACATAGGAAAGAAATAGAATCCATGAAACAGCTTCAAATAGATATCCAGAAGATTGTAAATTCCATGAAAGTATATGCAGCAGAATGAGCCAATGTGAGAACAGAATACAGAAGACAGTACTGAGGTTAGCAATCATGAAAAGAAAGATTTCTTTAAAATAAGGTTTAGAAAAAAAATAGGGTTTAGCTCAGTGGTGTCATGCCTGCCTCACAAGCACAAGGTCTTGAGTTCAATCCCAGTATTACAAAAATAAATAAAACTAAAAATAGCAAGGGACCATAAAAAATCAATCCAACAGCTGCTAGATAATACAAAGAAAAATAACGTAAGACTGATTGCAGCCAATGAAAAAGCAGGAGATAGTGCAAAACAACATAAAAAAGAGATAATGGACAAGCCAGGAAGGGTGGCACCTGCATGTAATCCCAGTACCTGGGATTCACAGAGATAATGGACAAGCCAGGAAGGGTGGCACCTGCATGTAATCCCAGTACCTGGGAAGCTAAGGCAGGAGGATTTCCTTGAGTTTGAGACCAGGCTGGGCTACATAGTGGGTTCAAGTTCAGCCTGAACTACAGAGTGAGACTGTCTTAAAAAAAAAAAAAAAAAAAAAAAAAGACAGAATGGCAGAAAACTTCCCAAGCCTGGGAAAATAATTTGACATACAGTTAAGTGAGGCATATAGGACTCCAATTAGCCATGACCAAATGCAAATGGAAAAAACTCAATTCAAATCATCTTACATAAAAAGTCTGTCATATTGCCAGGCATGGTGGCAAATGAATGCAATCCCAGCACTCAGGAGGCAAAGGTGGGAGGATCACCCCAAGTTTCAGGCCAGCCTGAATTACATAGTGAGGTCAAGGACAGCTTAAACTACATAGTAAGAACCTGTCTCAAAAAAAATTTTTTTTTGTCATATCACCTAATGCAATCTATTAAGATTTAGTCTTGCCGGGCATGGTGGCGCGTGCCTGTAATCCCAGCACTCAGGAGGCTGAGGCAGGAGGATTGCTGTGAGTTCAAGACCAGCCTAGGCTACATAGTGAGTTCCAGGTCAGTCTCAACTACATAGTGAGACCCTGTCTCAAAAAAACAAAAAAAAAAAAAAAAAAAAAAAGATTTAGTCTTAGTCTTCAGCCCTGGTTAGAAATTCAAAATCTTCATCTCTTACTTTGACTCCTACTTTTTTTGTGTGCAGGGACATTCTTGTCATAGATAGGTACTCTTCTAGTAGTGGGAAATACTACTACCTTGGTTCACCAACACTCTGTTCATGCACAATTCAGTTTGCAAACAGAAGCATTCAGCAAAATTTTGCTTCTGATCACAAATTCCACCTCGATGGTCACAGTCACCTTCCCTGCACAAATGCAGTATGTGTGTTACGGTTTCCTCTAGTCGAGATCACAGTTGCAGATAGACCCATGCACTCTTGTTGTGAAGCTTTTCTGTGTGCTTGTTAGCACATACAGTACTGTACTTTATTACTCAATCCAGCATGGATCCAAAGAAGGGGCACAGCAAGCGTGGTGGTAAAAAGGAAGTACAGAGCAGTAATGAAGGTGGCAAAATTGTGCAGAGCAACTATGAAGGTAACAAGAAAGTGTAGAGCAAGAATGGTAAGAAGATTTGAAGAAAATGATCATTGAATTGAAAAAAAACAGTAGAAAAAAATGAGCATGGTATTCATGTGATTGATCTGGCCTTGGAGTACAAGATGGCAAAGTCCAGAATCTTGACTGTTTTGAAGAAGGAGCAGATGTGGCAAAAGAAGTAAGAATGTTAACCAACAAGAGAACATAAGTGCTGGAAAAGGAGGAAAAACTTTATTCAGGGTGGTTGAATGAGAAACAGTTGGCAGGTGATAATATTAGTGAAGCCATGATAATTTCTTGTTTGTTTGTTTGTTTGTTTGTTTGTTTTTGAGAGAGTCTCACTATATAGTTGAGACTGACCTGGAACTCACTATGTAGCCCAGGCTGGTCTCAAACTCACAGCAATCCTCCTGCCTCAGCCTCCCAAGTGCTGGGATTACAGGTGTGTGCCACCACACTAGGTTATGAAGCCATGACAATATTAGTGAAAAAACCAGGAAATTTCACAGTAATTTACTCCAAGAAAACCCCTCTATACATGTAAGATGATGCAAAGAAGAATAACGTAAGATTAATTGGAATCAATGAAAAAGCAGGAAATAATGCAAATAACATTAAAAACCTGCTCACAGAAGTCATGGCAGAAAACTTCTGAAGTGATGAATTTAAAGGCAATAGAAGGGCCAGGGATTTAGCTCAGTGGTTCCAACATCTGCCTTGTAAGCACAAGATCCTGAACCTTGATTCCTGATACCAAAAAATAAATACATAAATAAAGGCAATAGAGAGTAGCTGGATAAATTCTTTAAGAGAAGTAGCAACCACAGTGAGATAAGACATGGTGAGGCCTCCAATTTTGACAAGGCTGCTTCAGAAGCCTACAAGAATTTATTGAATTCATGAATGCAGGATAAGTTGCTCAACAAGGGTTCAGCTGCAATGAAACAGGACTGTTCTGGAAGAAGATACAGAACAGAACCTATATCACACAGGAGGAAAATGCTCTGCCATGAAGGACAGAGTGACCCTTTTGCTGTGTACAAACTAGAGTGCCAACCTGAAGATTAAGCCACTACTGCTGTATCATTCCCAGACCCCTCATGCACTCAGAACAGAATGGGAACAAGGTCAGACTGCCTATCATGTGGAGGGCCAATTTGAAAGCTTGGATCATAGGCAGTAGTTCATGGAATGGCAGCATGAGATGTCTGCATAACCATTAGAAATATCTTTCTGACAACCAACCACCTGAAAGGTGCCTTCTTCTGATGGACAATGCACTGGCATACCCTGCAGCCTTGGTGGATGATATGAATGCTGAGTATAATTTCATAAAGGTCAAGTTCCTTCCCCACCACTCAACACCTCTTCTGTAGCCTATGGTCCAGAAAGTGATCTGCAACTTCAAGAAGCTGTACACAGGCCTGGCGTGCTGGCAAACTCTTTTAATCTCAACACCTGGGAGGCTGAGACAGGAGGATTGCCTTGAATTTAAGACCAGCCTGAGCTGTGTAGCAAGACCCTGTCTCAAAAAAAAAAAAAAAGCACAAACTAAGCCTGGAGATTTAGCTTAGTGGTGCCATCACCTGCCTTGTAAACACAAGGTTCCAAGTTCAATTCCTGGCACCAAAATTAAAAAAAAGAAGAAGAAAGAAGAAGGAAGAAGGAAGAAGGAGGAAGAAGGAAGAAGAAGAAAGAAGGAAGAAGAGAAGAAGAAG